GTTAAAAAATTTTCAGATTCCCATCAAAGAAGACATTCCACTGTTAGAAAGAATATTAATGACCTTTCGTGCTTCCATTTTATCCTTCTGTTAGCTATAAAATTGCACGGATTCTCCAGAAATTCAATTTTCAAGTCTGTTTCTCCCCTATTAATAAAATTCACCCTTCGATTTTAAAAGATTGCGTTTCTGTCTTGAATTCTTGGGGAATTTATAGTATATCGTGTCAGTGTGGTTTAAGATATATTGGCCAAACAAAAAGAGCGTTGAAGTTTCGTATCAAGGAACATGAATCTTATGTCAGAAAAGGCGAAATTAACAAGTCTTCAATAGCGTATCATAGTTGGACTTTCAACCATAATTTTGATTTTGGGTCTGCAAAAATTATTATTATTATTATCAAGGCTTCTTCCATAGGTGAATTGGATTTTCTTGAGGCTTTTCACATTCACAAAAATTTAGCAGGTTTAGTTAATGATTTGAAGTCCAATCCAGTCCTTCCTAATGCCTTTAAAATTCTACTATCTTAATTCAGTTATTTTTGCCGATAGATGGCGTTACCTCCTCGCGTTAGTACGACCAGAGGGTATAAAAATCCGTTCAGTTGTTGCTTTCCATTATTTGAAGTTCAGATTTTGAGCGTAAGGTGCATTTGCCCCTCGCTCCCTATTTTAACTTCGCTAATTGTTCTTGTCCTTTATGCTTGATTAGATAGCCTGGCTCAGTAAAAGTAGGCGGCCAGTGCAACTCTGATTAATATCTAGTTATAACCACGTGCAGTGCTGATAAGGACCACGTGTTTCTGTGACTCCTACTCCTTTATTTTCTTCTTTCTAGGTATTTCTTTCTCCTGATGAGGAGGGACCTTTAGCTGCCCTCGAAATCGATTGAGTGTTTCGTTATACCTACGCTAAATACAAGGTTGTTTTTACGATTTTGATAGTCAACTCCTTATTAATCAGGGGCTAATCAAACGGGCGCTCCCTAAATAAAATTTAAGTTTGTTTATTGGGGAAGCATAGATAAAATTAATATTACAACCCGTCAGCGTGAAGCAAAACTCTCTGTAAAGGAAAAATGCGTGAGATAACAGTAGTGCAGCAAATAGCAGTATTAATATTTTGAGTTGTTTTATCCACAACGGAATATAATTTAGTTATAAGTAATATGGATTATTATCTAAGCATTGTGCAAAAGAAATAAAAGTTCTAAGCGACATTTATACATGAAGCTTGACTCCCCGACATTGTTAACGTTACCTTACAAATGCGTTATTTAATGCCATTTAAACTTAGTTTCTAAATTCATAAGGAATTTCCTTCTTCCGTTATTTACAGAAGATTATTTTTTGCTTAGAATTCTGATTTAACTCGCGCAAGGAAATGAACTTCTACTTCATTTGAAACTGCTTGAAAATACACGCAAATAATTAATGGTACTTTTTTTCCTGTTAATTACGCAGAGGTTCTTCGCCCATTTTTTAGACGACTTTGCTTAGATGTAAAACAACTGGATTTTTTTTTTATTCCTGCAGACCCTACTACACAAATAGCGAGTTATCTCTAAAAAACTCATGAAATACAGGAGAAGTTTAAAATAACTTTTTTACTTCCTTGTACGAAGTAAAAAGGAAGTATTGTAATCGCGAAACGTTTCAGGCAGCATATTTCAACGAAAATATCCATTTTGACCGCTATCGAATGCAATTTAACGATGTATTTGCGTCATATCTGTACGTAAGGACAGAATAAAATACTCTTTTCCTTCAAAAAAATTATAAAACTGCTTTAAAATTAATTCTCAAGAGAATTTTTCGTGGCGTCTGTACGAACGTATGTACGTATCTCGCATAACTCAAAAACGAGTAGCCTCAGAACGTTGAAATTTTGTATATAGGACTGCTATAACATGTAGATGTGCACCTCGTATTTTGGTTGCAATCGGCCGCACCAAACGTATATAAATATATTTATATATATATCCACTCTATTACCCGGCTCAGTGATCTCAGTTTCTTTACTCTTATATGTTTGTAAATTGTACATTTTTTGCATTAAAAATGATTGAATTATGTTGTTTTTATCTTCCGGTTGAGGATTTTATGCCTTTAGTAAATCTGTGTGCAATATTTTAGAATTATCAGCAATTTTAAAGTTGTTTAATTGCCTCTAAGCCGGTTTTTAATGGCGGCCACTGATGTTTACATTTGAAACAGGAGACTAGTGGATTTGTTGCCAATCTAGAGAAACTTAGCTTCGCAACAACAAAGATAACGCCTTCATTTATTATTGCCAATTAAATCATGCTTAATCCTTTCTGGAATTTTTTCGAGGAAATAAGTGTTTAAGATTTACTTCGTAATTTTTAATATATATATTTTGAGTTTTTATGTGTTTTTGCCTTCTCGCGAAGTGAGCACTGAATTAATTGAATGAGAAATACTCAATCGTCTGTGAAAACTGTTTCTTTTTTGTTTTGTTTGTTTAATTTCTTTTATACATCATTCTAGCTTTATTACAGTATTTGAATAGAACATGTGGCAACGATTAGAAAATTCTATTTTTTAAATGATACAAATTTTGTGCATTATGAGTTATAATATGAACGAAAAATAATACTATTAAGTGAATTTAGCGCCAGAATCTAGCGCTACGGTAAAGAAATACTAGAATGAATTTTAAAGAATGCATTTATTCTATTGTGGTTTATGCGCTGTCGGCGAAGTAGATTTAATTCAATCCAATAAGTTTAAATGAAATGCAATAAAAAATGCATATAATTTAAAATTCCGTAGAAGGAAGTCATGTGGTGTACACATTAGATAGTTTTATTTAGTTTGAATATAAAAGAGCAGGCACAACTTATGCTACAGACGAATTTTCCACCACTTCTGGCTATTTAAATTAGCATAGCAGACGATTAAATTCAAACCTTAATCAAGTAACCTACGACTACAGATTAAATAGATGAAAAATAAATAAATATAAGCTTTGCAAATAAGCTGGCTCAGGTATTTTACCAGCACATATTTAAAACATAGGCTGGCGAGAATGCTTAAGCCGAAATATGACTTTTAAGCAGAGCTTACGAAAAATTGCTAACAGTAAGATGCGATTGTCAGAATCCCTAACTAAAGAATCGAAACACTTAGCTTAAATATACACAAAGCTAATCTGTATTCTGGTGAGGAATACGGAAAAGAGAAATTATAATAAAGACTTAAATCGTTATAACTGTTTAATTAACATAAGATACTTCATACCAGCTGTTCTCAACCTTTTGAGTAACGCGTACCATCTAAACAAAAATTAAAAACCTTTAGTACCACCACTACAAAGTACTACTGCCACCCTTGAACAAAGCTCACGTCACATAAATTTGCGAGTGTTAGAGAAAAACCTTAATCAGTATGTTGGGGTTTTAATTTTTGAATTTAATAGTTAAAAATACTTTGCTTCTTTGCCTACCACCTATTTTTCTCTTGCTTACCACCAGTGGCACGCTTACCACCAGTTGAGAACCCCTACTTTACACCATAAAGGCATTATATGCTTACAAATATGCATGTCTTCTCCAGCTTCGAGCTCAAACACTGAGGTATGATAATTGTCTTTGCCAACTACAGTGAAGTCCGAGAAAGCAATTTCGCACATAAAAAGCAACAAACAAATTAGAAACTAAAATGCACAGTAACATGTAAAATAAATATATGAGTTCATACGCTTGTAAATTAAAATTATATCATTATTAATTTATGGATTTGAGAGTATCGTTTTTATCATTTACTTATTTTCAAGTATTTAATAGTGGAATAATAATCCTTTATTATTTAATATTAATATAATGCATTGAGTTTGATGGTCTCCTTTACAAGTTTCAGGCCAAAGGTCGTCAGCCTAGAAGGACTATTAATTTCGTTTTGGCTATTTGCTTTGAAAATTATAAATGTCTGTTCACTTTTCAAACTGTCTGTATGTATGAAAAGTATGTACGTTTCTCGCACTGTGATAAAACCACGGTACCTGGAGCCATCAAATTTTGAATAATGTACCTTTCCATCTGAATATGGGCATCTGGAAGCCCAAATTTGGAATTTGTTTTATAATCGATTTCATATTTTGTAAAACTTTAACGAATTTTTAATTAACAAACTCAAAGATTTCAAAGCGAGCATTTAGCAACGCTCTACGGGGAAGAAAACACTTTTTATCTCCAGCACGCGAGCCTGTGTATCGAAAATTCTAAAGATATGTTCATTCAAAAATTATTTTGTGATATTGCTGTTGAACTGAATTTTACGGTTTAAGTGTGAAGAATATGATTTTTAATAAATAAAGGTAACCCACAAAACGTTAAAAAAGAGCCCCTTTGGGCGTAATGTAAAATCTGAAAAAACTATATTTTTTTTTTTTTTTTTTTTTTTTACGACATCATTAGCTTTTTTTGTTGGAGTTCATATTTTTCTGTAAAACACTAATCGTCATGCTAATTGCACAGTCTAAAGTCGTCATGCTAATTGCACAGTCTAAAGTCGTCATGCTAATTGCACAGTTTTCAAAAATATCAACATATTCACATGAAAAGACTTTGACATTTGAAAAATCACAGCTATGTTGCTAGGCGCATTAATTACGTGAACAGCGTTATTCTCTTATACTTTCAGACACCAACAGTGTAATATCCGAAACAACTATGCATCGAATAGCCATACTAACAGATAATTTTTTGCATTTACTTATATTATGTGGGCTTTACTTCAAAATTAATGATTTTTAATAAAAATTACAAGCAAAAAAATATTAATGAAGAAATAAATGAAATCGTTTAGAGGTGTCTCCTAAATGTTAATTCAAATCCATTGTCTCAAAAAAGAAAACATCCCAATTTCTATCAGGCATTTCAAAACAAGTTTCCTGAATTTAGTGTTATGTTTATATGAGAGAAGAGCAGTGGGGTGTGTTGTTTATAGCGACCGCCACCTGCGTGCAAGACAGTGTGCAAACGGATTTCTGAGTCAGTGGAATATCGATCGATACCTCCGAAGCGTGCAGACGACGCCGAGGAACATGGCGGTCCACGGAGTATCAAGCTCTCGCTGTTGGATTACCTGAGGAAAGGACAGGAAACCACGTGAGGACACATGGCGCAGGTAACAACCTACATTTCTTCTTTCTTCACGATCTATAGCTTTCATGCGGATCTATCGTCTGCGCGATCGTAATGCACGGTTAAGCAAAACGCCGGGTCGATGACCAACCATAACAAGATACTTTTCCATCCTTGTCTGAGGATTAAGTATCGCTGTCTGTCTATTGAAACAGAAGAGCGCTGATTTTTTCTTATTCGTTGTTTGTCACAATGGCAGCTCTATTTTTAGTGACATTTATTTTCCAGTTCTATTTTTTTTAATTGCTTCTTATCATTTTAGTACTTTACCTTTTACTTTTTTTTTTCTTATTAGAGGTTCTTTATTTATTATTAAAGCAAAAAGTCTTTCAGAATATTAAATGAGTGGCTGGTAATTCTGGTTTTAATGATATAATTATAATATTTTGAATACTGAAGGGAAAAAGATGTCAGAAAAAATTGCAATTTGTTTTTATTATAATCTGAAATTATAGTTAACTTCTGATATACCGGGGTAATACAAGGAACGACATCCACGGTTAACCTGATATCCCAGTTAATCCGAGGGTAGCTAAAAGAAAACCACAGGAAAAAAAAATAATGGTCCACATTATAATTAACACAAAAAGTATTATTAAGAATTTACTTATACTTTCAGCAGGTGAACAGTTTAAACAGTTCATTTGATTACATAAATTGAAACAGCAGTCAAAAGGTAAATAAATACAAATGAAAAAACACACTGCTAAGTAATGGGAGAATAAACTTCACTAGAAAAGGAGGGATAAATTATAAATGGCTAGAATGCATATAAAAATATAAAATATATAAGCAAAACCTTGGAGGGGGGGGAATCTGAAAATCTGAACCTGAAAAAAAATCTCGACAATTTCAGATTTTATATTACGCCCCAAGGGGCCTTTTTCTTTTTCTTTATACCCACATAAAAGTTTCGAGAGCTTTTGAGCTATAATATTTAAATACAGCATACCTTTAGAATTTCCGATGGACAGTCTTCCCTGCTAGAAATAAAAATGTTTTATTCCGTACAGTGTTGCGACTGCTTGCTTTGAAATCGTTAATTTTTTTAATCAAAAATTCGTCAAAGTTTTACAAAATATGAAAGAGATAATAAAACAAATTCGAAATTCAATATATGGGCTTCCATGTGTGATTTTCGGTTGGAAGACTACGTTATTCAAAATTTGATGGCTCTATATATTGTTGTTTTTCACAATGCGAGAAACATACATACATTCATGCAGATTCCTCATTATTTAATTTCTTTAAATATATTACAGAGCAATAATATTTGGTGGCAACAATCTGAAAAGTGATTCAGTGCTTTTAGTGATTCGACGCAAAATGACGTTTCGAGACTAATAGCCCCTTCTGGGCTAAAGCTCCTTTGGGCTAATAATATACATGTTATAAATGGTGAAGAACTTTATTTACAAGAGAACTTGAAAAATGTCTTTAAGATAAAACCGCGTAAAAAGTAGGTTAGATAAATTGGTTTAGCACTCAAGAGTTGCCCATCTAAGGAACGGAAAATCTTCGTGGAAGACGTTTCAATGGAAATTGTTTCGAATGGGGAAAATTATCTCGAGTCGAACTACTAGTGTTCATAGATTTTGTTGGTCGGCGCCTGTTAGGCCAAATGTCGGTTACAATTTTGTTTTATTGTGCAATATTAATAGATTTCGGATTACTTACCCTTATGGATAAAAACAACTCCTCAATACTGTAATATCTTCTGCTATTACTGGTTTTATACTAATATTTTTCCTCCTGTAGAAGAGAGATCTTTATCCGACCACTCTCGAAATCTATAGAGTTTTATTCAAAATTTACAGTCAAATCGCGAAGTTCCTTTTAAGCATAATTTAAAATTTTTATATGCATTCTTCACGTCTAAATCTATATTATCTAATATTTTAAAAGTTGACATAGTTCCATTTTAAAATCATAAGAATTAAAACTATATGTAATAGAAAAATAAGCAAAGACCGTATCTTTACTTCCTCTGATCAGGAGAGACGTATCTAGGATTTTCAGCGCCCGGGGACAACTGAAGATTTCGCACACCTCCTGTTTGCTAAGAATGGAAACCATTTAATTCTAAAACTTCATCCTAAAAAAGGCAGCGCCCAGGAACAAATGTCCCCCTCTAGCTACTGCCACTGCTGCTCAGATTAAGAAAATAACACTATGTTCTAGGAATATTTTAACATACATCTATATATCAATTTTTCTTAATTAAAAAAAATGAATAAGCGTCATCTAATGTGTCCTTCGGTTTTTGAACTGTAAACAATGCATTAAGAATTCAAAGAACAAACAATAGACTGGTTAAGACATGTTTACTAAATGACGTAATTATGCTCTCAGCAAATTTGGTTGGTCAAAAGATTAGACCGTGTATTCTATCCCTCCAAACGACTCCCCTTCAGTTCCGTTAGGAAGTCCCATTCAGTAGTCCTAGATCCATCGTCTCCCTTTATATCCTCTCGTATCCTAGTATGTAAATTCCAGATGTTATTAAAAAAAACGAAACGATTTTTGCAGAAACTGTTTCAGCTACGAAAAGAAATGTCTTTAAATAAATCAGAAAAACAATGTATAACCGAAATTATGTGGCAACATGAATAGGAATACATCAGAACGGAGAGAAAGTAAACACGCGGAAGGCGAATAAAACTTCCAAATGCAAAATGTGGACTGAATATAAATGGAGTGTTAAATATATACAAACAGCGGCCATGATAAGTCGTGACGTCATACCGTGACTTCATGGCTTCATTTTCATTGCACAGGACACATGGAGAATGTCTACTCCATTTGTTCTAACCTTCTTGGTCAGAAAAACGCAGCGTGATTATTAATATGAAATTATAGCAACAAAAAATAGAAGATATATAACTATTTCATAAACATATTGTTACGAAATGTCCAGGCGCGGTAAAATAGCTTCTCCGCAAAGCAGTTTTAGGGTTGCCATAGAATGGCAAAGGAAGGCAGGGTTGCCGCATTTGGCAATAAAATTGGCGATATGCCATAGACGGATGGAGAACCTTCTGGAACAAATTCTTACCGGTTTAGCCCGTGCGGAATCGATCGAGTTAACAGCCGGGCAGCGAGTGTCGAGTGGGCCGTCGAGTACATCGAAAGAGTCTCTTAGTGTATCGCGGTTAGTGAATCGTTGAGAGAGTGTGTTGAGCTCCGGGAACGACTGAACCAAAGCGTCGGGAGCTGTGCTCTGTGTGTCGTCGAGTGCATCGCGAGTTGTAGCGTGGAGTTCCGAGAACGACCGAGCAGAGTCGGGAGCTGTACTCTAGTGCTTTACAGTGAAGCTGTCTCCACCGAAATAGCCTGATAACCTGAAGGCTGTGTCACTGATTGTTCCAGCGAGTATATAGTAGATCTTCGACGACTGTAAAACGTGACTTTGGAGCTGTCTTGATTAATATTGGCAAAATAAAGTGTGTTTCGATACTTCATCAAGTGTCGTCGTTATTCACTCCAAATCTACAAACCCCGTACGAACGCGAAGGAAGAAAATAACGTAACAATATAAATGTAATCGAAAGATATTAATAAAGAAGATTAGTGTTATTGAATTTCTAAGTAGAACTCTATTCTTGCAAATCGTAAAGTTGTAGTTTTTTAGCTTTTGTTATGGTATAACAAAACGGGATAATAATTTCAAGACTAACATATTTCTACGAGAAAACCACTCTCTCCATTTTTTATATAGCTTTAATGCACCTAACAACTTTTTCAGTTAGTCAAATTCCTTTCAGAAAAACATGTTCTGCATCAGCCTTGAAACCATTCTTGAAGGATATCGTTCATATCTTCCTCGTAACTACAACTTGAAGTTCTGTGTGAATTTTTGAGCAGAAAAAGGTCATTTGAAACCATATCTAGAGAACGGAATATGTTAGGTGAATTAAATATGTTGAGTGATGAATATGAATTTTCACATTGCTAAATAATAGCCGGAAATCAGACTGTGCTTGCGATTGGGACTTCATGCAAAACTAACACGTTTCTGCAGAGTTCATCACAGCCCCCCCCTTTTTTTTTTTTTTTTTTTTTTTTCCATGAGCTGTAGAAATTGAGTCTACAAGATAGAAAAAATAAACAATTGTTGGCGTATGTTATGCGACAAATAGCCGATGAGTAACAGCCCTCTTTTAAGTGGTGGAGAAATTTTTCCAAGCAGGATTGTGGGCTCTAAACTCTCCGACTTCCATTATGCTACCATTATCTCTTGTTTAGTTACCAGGTGATACTGATAAATACTGAAACTTAAAACCGTACTCATAAACGTTTATCATAAATAGGAGTTCTTGAGAATAATCAATACGCCTTTCTTTTCATTTCTATCTACAGCATTGAAGGCCCCTTCTAGAACATGCCTTTAAAAATCCTCCGACATACCCATATTTCATGCAAGGATGTGTTTTCCATTCAGCGTAATACTGATTTTCATTTCTGCCACAATATGGAAAACTATCGCATGTCGATTTTTCATCGTTTAATCCTCGAATTTCATACAAATTTCTTCTTTCGCCATGTCCATTTGTGTTCATTTGTGTTTCACTTTCAAGTTGCACTCTTCCTTGCGTAAACATTTTAGTTCATCCATTGACGGTAGCCTAGGAAAGGGAAATATAGAATGCAACCATACATCCGTGATTATTTTTTGGTGTTATGCTTCTTTTTGTTGAGAATTCAATCAGCGAATATTAATTGGTGATTTCGATATTCACAGCCATTATTCACTAACCACCTTATAAACCTGATAATTACAACACGTTCGTTTTTGTAATCCAGAAAAGAAAAATGGTGCAGTCGTTTCATTGCTTTTTGTTATTCCATAAATATTAAGTCATAACTTAGTTAAGAACTTACTAAGATTTTCTAACAGTTAAACAATTCTGTTTATTAAAAGCCAGTCTGTGATAATTATTTTAAGATTTACTAACAGTTGCTAACATCTAAAACTGCTCTTTTTCTTTCAATATTCCTTACAGACGAGAAGATTATATAACTTCAAGTTTTTAAACTCTTTAATAGAAGGCAATTACTCATAAATGCACGATTACCTTCCATTAGACTTAATAAGCTAGCGAGGATCAGCTGCAGCACGTGTCTTGTTGAACCAACCAGGAATAGCCACCTGGTTGTCGTAAATGGTGGCATCAATTCTATATGTTAATCTTTTTATCGGACGCCATCTCGATCCCGTAATCATTCTAGATTAGCAAACACCTCTGTAGTGGTAAGTTGATTGTAATCAGGGTGATAATCCGTAGACATTTAGGAAGTAACTTTTACCGAAGTACCATAAATTCAATGTACTTTTAAGAATAATTTAAATAGTAGAATTACAATTAAGCTCTATGTGGGTAATAAATCGCCAACAACAGCGAAAGTTATTTTAGTAGGTTTATAATGATTTAAGTTATGTAACATAGATTAGTAAAAGAAAGCTTTTAAGCTATTAGCTTAAAAGTCAACTAAGCGATTAAGCGATGTGAATAAACCAAATACTAATTTTATTTTCTCTTTTTTGTTTACTGATGAGCACATACGCATTTGTTCTGCAGGCTGAACGCCAAGAGTCTTTGGTGGCCTTCTCACCCTCGATCCGGGAAATAGGTTTCATTGATGAAGATGAAGCGGTCAGCGATTTGTCTGAAGTCTCAGCAAGCGAAGAAGACAAAGTGAGTCACAATTTATTTTTCTTTTTGTAACATTGATATATTTATATAATCTTCTTACTAGCATATACATTTTTTAACAGATTTGTACAACGGATTAAAAGCTGCTTTCTGAATTTACAACACCTTCCATGCGTCAGCACTGAAATTATTTTTTATAAAACTATCTGTCTTACTTTCAGAAACTGTGTGCATGTCTAGAATCAGTACGTAAGGAAATGATTTTTAAAATACCCTCTATTAAGTAACAAGTTTATAGTATACATATGTAAATAAATTAAATTAAATAGGTCATTTTTTGACATGTACAATTCATACTAAAGAACCAGAAATAATCTGAAATAGTCTACAACCCCTGGCACATCATATAAGCAGTCTAGAGCCTAAGGCACATCATGCATCTAGAGTTCTCACATTAAACATAAGTACCAGAAACCGACTGATGCGGTATGGAGGTCTACGCACATAATACTTCTAGGGCTTTCACATTAATGATAAGCACCAGAAATCGAATGAAGCAATCTAGAGCACTAGCATATCATTCTAGAATTCTTACTTAATCATAAGCGCCAGAAACTAATTGATACAGTCTATTTCCTTAGAAATATCATACTTCTGGAACATTAAGCATTAGAAACCAACTGAACCAATCTGGAACCCTGGATGTATCCAGCTTTTAAAGCTCTCACATTAAACATAAGCATCAGAAACTGACTTAAGCAATCTGGAACCCTAGATGCATCCAATTTTCAAAGCTCTCACATTAAACATAAGCATCAGAAACCGACTGAAGCAATCTGGAACCCTAGATGCATCCAACTTTCGAAGCTCTCACATTAAACATAAACATCAGAAACCGACTGAAGCAATCTGGAACCATGGATGCATCCAACTTTCAAAGTTCTCCCATTAAACATAAGCATAAGAAACCGACTGAAGCAATCTGGAGCGCTAGGCATGTCATGTTTCTGTACCTCTCACATTAAACGTTAAATACCGAAAACCAACTGAGGTAGTCTAGAATCCTAGACACATCATGTGCCTAGAGATCTTACTTTGAACATAAGCAGGAGAAACCAATTGAGGCACAGTTTCTTAGTCCACCATGCTTAGCTCCAGTTGTCTGTTTTTCTAGTTTTTGTGAATTTAAAAACATTGTGTACTTTTCACACTTAATTGTAAAATGATTTGGTGGGGGTTCTCTCTGGGGCCTCTGGGCCTTGTAGATGAGTCTTGGAAGCAATAAAGACTTTGTAGCCGTTCTCTTTAAGTGCTACAAAATGCATACGAAATGTTTACCTATCAGTGTACGATTTTCTGCAAATTCTGAGAAAAATTAGAAATCAAAATAAACACATAAAAATGCTAAGATAAATTTTAAGAGCGTTGCTCTATTATTTCGGGAATATACTCAAGAGCTGCGGTTTGGCTCAACAGCTATTGGCAAAAATCCCGTTGGTGCTTTCCCCCATTGGTGTAGTGACGCAAATTATTATCAACATTGTGACGTCACGATCACCACCCTACAGACTGTTTCGAAACCCTGCGGAGAATACGCTTTGGTGTTTGCCAGATTATTTAAAGCAACGCTCGCCCCCTCAACACTTCGAACGCTCGATATTGCTGGAGTAACCTGCTTCTATTTGTGGCTCCGGAAAACACGTCTGCGGCCTATTTCAAGATCATTTAATGTCAAGTTTGAATGCAGTATGATTGAATCCAGCTAAATTTAAAGGAAGTTTATTTATTTAATATAAATGTCAGAATTTCGTGCCAACATCAAATTACCGAAACATACGCAACATCTATGCCCAGTATACATGTATCACGGTAGGAAACATACAATATTTTAGGGAACTACAGTAATGAACACAAAGGGATTTATGTACCTTAAAAAAGTACTGAAGGCTTTTTTTTTCATTAAATCGGATTAAACGTTTAAGATTTCGGTCAGCTTTAAAAAAAGATGAATAAAATGTTATATTGTACCACATTAATTATGTACCACATGGTTATGTTATACCACATTAATTTTTAGCAAAATAGTGCACCAATAAAAATGCAAATACAAAATCAGAAATCGTTTTTTAATAATAACCATGACAACAAAAAATAAGTACATAAATTTAATTAAAGAGCGTACGCCCCTCCAAAAAGTCAAAATGATATAAATTAAGTTGCTTATCAAACGTCTTATTTCAATTATACTTAAACAACTATTAATTTAATTGTAATCCTGTTAAAATAATATATAAATTATACACAATGTCTAAATCCTAATTCCCTTTCCTTTGTTTAAACTTCGTGAAACTATTTCATAATTCACACACATTTTAAAATAGAAATCAGATTTTTATATTGTGCCCAAAGGGACCTTTTTTTATTTACACACACATACACGTTTCGAGAGCATTTCGGCTAATGACTGTTTGGGTTAAAAGTATTTAAAAACAGACTATCTTTAAAATTTCTGATAGATAGACTAGCGCAGTGATTTCCAACCGGTGGTTCGCGAACCCCCAGGGGTTCGCAGTGTTTGCAGAAGGGTTTCGCGAAAATAATATTGTAATGGCGGATTTTTTAAAACGCTATTAAAATCAAAAGCAAAAAACGAAAAAAAAAAAAAAAAAAAAAAGACACAAAAATTAAAGAACACACCCACTGTAAAACAGATTGTTCGCTGCCTGTTTGTTAAGAAATCTATAATAAATTTCAATATTTTCATTTCTTTTTTCCTTATTTGTTTTTCAAAATTACTTCTCCGATATCAAATTATATCAACAATTTTATTTATTATAATTTATTCTTCTTATTCAAGTAATCAAATACTATTCTCTTTTTATTAAAAACATTTATTTATATTTAAAACAGTTTATTAATGTGATTAGTATCATGTTCTCCTCTACATTTAAAATCATTGCAGCAGTTTTCCCTTCTATGTAATATTTTTTTTACAATACAATTGGAAATAAATATTAAATTAAGGCAGTTTACTACAGATTTTAGAATTAGATACTTGTTCACAACCGGGAACTGGGAGAGAAGTGTTGTATTAACTGTCTATTTTGTCTGTCTGTCGACGTTCATACATAGGCTTAGCACTTGTAAAGCTTGAGTGATAGTGATACTGTGACTGCCAAGTTCTCGTGTAAATGATTTAATAATTATTAATTTAATTATTATTATAGCTTGTTTTTATTATGGATTGATGGTTAAAAACGGGTCGTTTAGAAATGAGACATGATAATCGAGATGATAGTACTGAAAGCTGTAGTGAGGTACCGTTTCACCAGACGAAAAACAAAGGAAATGATGATAGAAAAGAGAAAAAGCGAAAATATGACAGCGACTATCTACAATTGGGTTTCCATTTTACTGGGGATGAGTCGGAACCTAAACCGCTTTGTGTTATATATAACGAAATTCTTGCCAACAGCAAATTAAAACCATCACTTCTTCGTAGACATATTGAAACAAAACATCCGACACACAAAGATAACCCTCTTGAATATTTCAAAAGAAAATTAGCAGATATCAAAAAGTGTAGCCTTTCTTCTTTCTTGACTTCAAATGAAGATAGTGAAATGGCTCTTGAAGCATCATTTCGAGTAAGTTATAGAATTGCAAGATCTGGACAAGCGCATACAATAGCAGAAAATTTAATTGGACCATGTGCGAAAGATATCGCCAAATGTATGCTTGGGGAAAAGGCAGCAAAGAAAATTGAGCTAGTTAGTTCCCTTATCAAATAACTCGGTGTAGCGTAGAATTAATGACTTGGCTAATTATGTGGAGAACGAACTTCTAAAAAGAATAAAATTGAATTATTTTGCATTTCAACTTGACGAATCGACGGATGTAACAAATGCCGCAGTCTTGCTTGTCTATGTTAGATATGTTTTTACGAATATTGTTCAAGAAGATGTACTATTTGCAAAACCTTTGAAAACCTACACAACTGGAGAAGCGATTTTCGATATGATCAATGGGTATTTTGAAAAGAATGTAATAAGCTGGTCTTGTTGTGTGGGTTTGTGTACAGATGGTGCAAAATCAATGACAGGAAATTTTTCTGGTTTTGTGGCACGGATGAAGAAGATCAACGAGAAAATTCAATGGACTCATTGTTGTATTCATAGACAAGCTTTAGTATGTAAGCGTATTCCTGTAGAGTTTTTTTTTTTTTTTGAGCCCACCAGCGGCCGAGCGGTAAAGTCGCTGAACACTGGTAGTTCGGTCCGAGGTTCGAATCCCGCGAACGGGCTGGCTGCATGGGCGTTTTCGTGGTTTTCCTCATGTGTAACGTGTATACGAGCCAGTTTCCCTTAGAAAGTCCTCCACGAAAGGCATCCCTCCCCTTAGGCAGATAGCCCTAGTGTGCTTTGCCATAATTAAATACACCACCAAATACACTCCTGTAGAGTTATCTACTACTTTAAGTGATGCTGTGAAAATTGTGAACTTTATAAAATCGCGTGCTACAAACTGCCGTCTATTCCGTACGCTTTGTGAGGATTTTTGAAGTTTCCACGTTTCTTTAATACTTCACACAGAAGTTAGATGGCTTTCCCGTGGTAAAGTTTTGACGCGTTTGTTTGAATTGAAGTCTGAAGTTCAAGCATTTTTTATTGATCATCCGTTTCATTTGTCTTCTTGCATATCCGAGGTTCTTTGGCTGCGAAAGCTTGCGTATTTAGCTGACATTTTTTGTAAGTTGAATGAATTAAATATGTCTTTACAAGATAAGGGTGTCACCATTTACAGTGTACATGATAGAATTGAGACTATGTTGAAAAAGATCAATTTTTGGATTCAATGCCTGCAGATGAATGAGTATGGATGTTTCGATTCTGTCAGCACTTTTTTATCAGAAAATTCAATTAAACTTGACGAAAACATTAAAATGAGTACATGTGAACATCTGAACTATCTTCGATTAACTTTCGATGGCTATTTTCCCAACAGATGCAATATATCCATCTCAAACAACTGGATACGTAATC